TAGACAAAATTCCCATGGAATATAGCTTTAAATGCAGATCTAATCAAGAGGATGCTGCAGGTTTGCTGGCTTTGAATGGGTTCACCAGCTGTCATCTTTTCGGGATTCCCTGAATGAAATGCATAAGTTCTTTCATTGTCTTACTGTATTATACAGTATACTCTGTGGTTGGGAGTTGGGCCATATACAAATTTAAATAACAATAATGGTAGCAACAACATTCATTAATATTCTTTGATTGCTGTTTTGGGTTGTGTTATTATGCTATTTTCTTATACTGCCTTGGAATAAAGCCTTAAATACTCATACCAAATTATCATAGCTTCTGAATCTAAAAGAACTTGTGACCCAATCCTGCTGGGCTCGGGATTTTGCTGTGTGTGACATAGAAGGCACACTTCCTGATCTGTTTAATGAACAGGACCTGGTGCACACCCACTTTGTCAACTCATTATATATTCAAAGGAAATACAGCAACTATGGAAGTAAAATAAAGACAATTAAATGAAGAAAAGTATTTTTAAAACATGTAAGTGGTCCTCATTTAACAACCACTCATTCAGCGACTGTTCAAACCTGCAATAGCGCTGAATGAGTGGTGGTTACAACTGGTCCTCAAAGTACCAGATGGCACAGTGCCCCCATAGTCACATGATCATGATCTGGGCGCTCAGCAGCCAGCCTGGATTTCCAATTGTCGCAGCATCTCGTAGTCACATGACTGCAATTTGTGAACTTCCCTGCCGGCTTCCTAAAAGTAAAGTCAATGGAGAAGCCAGCAGGAAGTCAGAAACTGCAATCATGTGAGGTCCTCATCTAACAACAGTTACTGGAGACTGCCAGAACTGCTGTTGCTAAGTGGCGTGGTCACGTTACATAACGCTTTACAACTGCATCACTTTGTGACAGAAATTCTGGTCCCAATTACTGTTGTTAACTGAGGACTACCTGTATATATTTTCCAATTAATCAACAGTAACTGGAAATAATTTGAACAAGAAAAAAAAAAGCAATATCTACAGTAAAATGAATTCTGCTGATTCAGGGACTTTGGAGGGTAAAGGCCTCTATACAGAGTATGGTACTGTGGAGGAATACAGAGGTAGCCTTAGAAGAAGTATGTTACAGCCATTATGAAAATATAAACTTAGCCCATAAAGCCAGGTGAAGAAGAAACTCAAGACTGTCCCGCCTTGACTCTCTCTGGCATAAGTGGGGGCAGAGAGAGAGAAAGAGAGAAACTCTGCCAGGCTTTCAAGATTCTGTCATTTACCCTATGACAATAAATTTCCATAATTCTTGTGGTGTCTGTTTCCTGATCTGGCCTATTTCAAAGGGCTGACATCAGTCTTGAATGCCTCACTATTCTCTATTCAGATAGGTATCAAACCTTGCCTTTGATCGTAGAGATGGCATCAGTTTCTTGGGGCATGACATTGTCTACAGAACCACTTCCTGAAGCACTGTTAAAATATCAACAGCAAGTAGATATACAAATAACAAGCCTGGACAATGTCATGGTACAACTAACACAGCCTTTAGAACAAGTCTTGCCTCAGCCAGGAGCAGTACAGCAATCTGCAGATCAATTAATTTTTCTGTGCTCTCATGGGAGTTTACCAGAGAACTCTGGAGGAACCTTGTATCAATTGCTGACTTTCATAACTCAGTGTGAATTGCTTCTGGTGGGTCAGCTAGCTGAACTGGAAAAAGATTACTTTTGTTCTGAGTCTGCTGAAAGAAGGGGCAGCCAAATGCACTGTGCCCCTCATTGACGGCAATGGTCCATTACTGGATAATTACCAGAACTTTATGCAAAAACGTAAAGCTGCATTTGATGATTCAGCTAACAGAGCAAAGCATCAGTCAAGAGATTCACAAGCTAAAACTGCCAGAAATGTGGGGTGGAATGATCTAGCTCTGACTGATGAATTTCAAGGACTGCTGGTGAGTCAATAAAACAAGGCACCCAGAGAATTTGGAAGAGCTGTTCCAATATTGTGTGTTAATTGATGGGTGTATGGGAAAGTTGAGGCATGGAGGAAATGGTAAGGAAAGGGGGTTTTACAGCTTCTCTTTACCCCTACCTCATCTTTGTGGCCCCTTGGACGCCAGTGCTGGAAAACCCATATAGAAAACCCTATTCTGCAAATAGGAGCAGAAAAGATCTCCATTCTCAGCAGAGAAATAGAGAAGGAAAGAGCTCAGTTTAAGTTTCTACTATGGAGCCCTCAGACATCTGGCCAAGACTTGCACTGCTAAAGTACAGGCCTCTGAGTCAGCAGCAAAGTGCCACACCAGTGGAACTGCAGGCCACACAGCAACCAAGTGCCCAATTACTCCAAAGTCTTGTTTTCAGGAAATTTTGCAGACCTCCCTCTCAACAGAATGGCCAGGGTGGCCTCAGACTCAAGAAGAGTCCAGGCAACCAACAACAGGAAAGTATATTCTATTCTCCTTGTCACTCTTCATTCAGACTGAGGTTTGGAAATACAACTTTCAGTTAGTTTCAGTTCTTATGGACTTGGGAGCCGCAGCCAATTTCATAGATGAGACCACAGAGCAAACTTTTACATTTCCCATGCAATTATTACAGAAATCTATGCTTATGGAAACAATTGACAGGAAAGCCCTTTGAGCTAGTCCTGTTTTGCAACACACTGCACCTTTGCAGCTGGCCATAAATGATCATCCAGAATCTTTGCTACTATAGGTCTCAGCTTTCTTATGTGTGCCCATTGTGCTGGGTATTGATTGACTGCAAACCCATAAGCCAGATGTTTACTGGAAGTAATGAACATTATCTTTTTCTTTGCAGAGTTAGTTTTTTTAGTTACTAAAACTGAGGACCAAGCTGGTTTATTTTTAAATGTGAGTCACTTGTAATTATCTAAATGCTGTGATAAAATTGCAGCCAATAACATTAAATAAATTTAGTATTCCCATTTAATCACAACCATGTTCTTGCTTTCATTTAGCAAACGTGAAACAGCTGTATTTTGCCATATACTTAATGTTTACATTCTTAAGAATTTGTACTTCATTACATAGTCGTTTTACAGCCTCTGCTGATATGTTTCATTAATAAATCTAAAAGATAATACAACAAACTTGGGTTTTTTAAAAAAGTACCTGATTAAATTTCTCACCGGTGCTGTTATCTTACACCTACATGGAACAAGCCTGCATAACCTTGGGATAGAATTAACAGAGCAAAACTATTATTCAGTCAGAAACTTCCCTTTAACAACTGATCTGTCTGCAAGTAGCACCTCATTTCGGTTTATTATGTATGCAAGCTACATACATTAATGTTAGCAGTCACTGGTAAGGGAGCAATGTGTTTACCATGTGAAGATCCACCATGTGACCTACATTATACACAAATGCATGAATCAAGTAAAATTCCTGCTGGCTTAATGGCAATGTGTTTAGCATTTTGAATAAAGAGCAAAAAGATAACTTTTTTTCCTTCTTCATTTCCAAATAAGTCCCTTGCATAAAGGACTTAATCTTCACCTTTTATGAAAATAACACATTAAGTTATTTATTAAACAAAGATACACTGCTTTTCATTTGCTAATGTCATCACATCGATCTTGGTAAGAGCATTAAAAATAAGAAATATGAGCCCCTGGTGGTTTTATTGATAAAAATAATTTTAATTGCTAATTATCTTCAGTATTCTGGACAGTGCTCACCACCAGAAGATATTCAACACTTACTTTCACATGTGTGGGCTTAATAAAACTAAATACTATTCCCCATAGGCTGCTTCTCTGGCAAAAATTTTTTAAAAAATCAATGACTATACTCTATAGTATTTTTATTGGTCTCTGAAAAAACAATCCCTGTTCCTGCCTTCTTGGCACAACAGCCCCATACCACACTTCAAACAGCATGCTAGTATTTTGTCAGTTTCTTGCATATCCATACATATCCGTGTTTATCCACATAGTTACTAAGATTATTTCTGAAAATCTACACTT